AGAATCTGCCGGATCAACAGAGTAATGTTCTGTCTGGACGCCCATGGAGTTACCCCTCATAGACAAACTATTAACTACAGCTATGAGCCTGGTCTGCCCTGCCGTAACTGTTTTCACATTTGCTAGTTAGTTAGTTAGTTAGTTAGTTGGGTTATCCTCATTGCACTCCGGACATGTCCATAGGTGCTCAGATCCTCCCCTCAGTATGAACCCCAACGTCCGATGGCTAATAGTACCAGTTCTATGTTGATTAACAAGTCTTCTGGCGTAGCTGGTGTGCGTCTCGTTTTTTGCTGTGCCGATCTTAATTCCCAAGTCTGCCATTCTGGCGAGTGATGTGGATTCACTGCCACCAAAGTCCTCTATTCTTCCCATTTCTCTGAGGGCATTGATAATATCAGCATGATCCATAGGCTGACCGTCGGTAGTGATAGCGGATCCAGCCAACCTGTCAGCTCTTTCATTTCCATCGACGCCTGCGTGTCCCGGAACAAAAATAAAGGTGACTCCACGAACAGTGGAGTCACATTTGCTAGTCCTAGCATAAGTAAGGTTAGTTTCCTTCCACTATGCACTTTTCCCTCCGAAGATATTGGCACAATGGGGAATGGTAGGTCTGGTTACGCCATTCAACATTCTGTGATAACAGAGACAATACTGCCGGCTCCTGTCATACGGAAGCTCAGTCAAATAAGTCTAAAACTAAAACAAAGAAAACTCGTTGGATCAGTAATTTTATGTCGTGCATACAAAAAAAATAATATTTTTAACGTTAGGAAATCAGTAAGTATCATAGATCTACCCACTTTCTTGTGAGGATTTACGTAAGACACCAGGCTCACCCTGAAGCCAAACTCAATAAGATCAAATCCAGTCAAAAGGCATGCAAAGATTAGCTGTAATAAAAAGGACGAAAGACATCTGTATAAGAACTTTAAACGCCAGATACTTTTAAAACGATCTATTAACTGGAGAGCAGAATACCAAAATTAGAGACCAATCATGCTGTAAGTCAAGGAGGGGGGGGGGGGGGCGGGTGTGTGTGTGTGTGTATTGTTTTCACTGAAAAGGGGCAGTGAGCCAAAAAGGTTTGGGAAACACTGGTCTAGTTGCTGGAGTAAACGTGTGAGCATCCGCATTGGAACAGTCAGCCACACGACGTTAGTGTGTAAGCCACCTGTTTGCTGTGTTACTGCTTATCTCCCCTGTGTGATCGATTCTCGCGATCAAGCGGTGTGTTAAATGCTTACTTCCTCCTGAAGTGAGTGGTTTCCGATCATAAATGTCCACGGTGATTGTCTAGCGCTTTATTCTTACAGGAGTATTTGTTGTTAAAACTGTACAGTTACCAACCAACCGTCTACTGATTGAAAAGTTTTTGCTTTATTAATATCATACCCCAAACATGGAAAATACACAGGTCACGGGACAGTCTAATATTTCAGGGGGGTGGTAGATAGGCTGCAGGCATTCGTGGGTCCTAAGCTGCACTCTCTAGTGGGACGTAGGTGGTTTTTATATAGGGCCAGTTCTAGATATTTTGGGGTCAATAATAGCGTCTGATAGCCGGGAAACCCAGTCTTACCACCCTATGAAATGTTGGACTATCCTGTGACGTTATCGGGGGTAGGATATTAGTAAAGAACCGAAAAGTGAAAAGTCAGTGTAGCCGTCAATATCGTCCAAGGTTTGTCTCTGCTGGAAAAAGAATGCTGCTTGCTACGTCTAGCCAGACTAACTGGCAACACAACTACATCATCCGTGCATTTATTATATTGTTATAAAACAACCAGAACCGCCACTGACATTATAATACTGATAATATTACCATTGTTACTGCAACACTCTCGCTATTGCTTCAGTTACTGCTGTTGCAACATCACCACTGCTACTACCAGCACCACCACCACTACTACGACGACTTTTACTACTGCTGCTGCTAATACTACTACTATGACTACTACTACTGCTGCTACTGCTGTTACTGCTACAACGACTACTACAACTACTGCTGCTGCTGATACTACTACTATGACTACTACTACTGCTGCTACTGCTGTTACTGCTACAACGACTACTACAACTACTGCTGCTGCTGATACTACTGCTATGACTACTACTACTACTGCTGCTACTACTGTTACTGCTACAACGACTACTACAACTACTGCTGCTGCTGGTACTACTACTATTACTATATTTAATACTATACCTGTTATATGTTAACGTTTCATTATAATGATTTCTTCTCAGGCTGAGGGACAAAGCTGACGGTGTTACTCCATAATGGGAAACAATGTGAGTGTTGTCCGTGCGCATGTTTTGAGGGCGGGTTTATTTTAAATTCTTCTTCTTGTTCTTCTTCTTCTCCTTGTTCTTCTCCTTGTTCTTCTTGTTCTTGTTCTTCTTGTTCTTGTTCTTGTTCTTGTTCTTCTTCTTTTTCTTCTTCTTCTTCTTCTTCTTCTTCTTCTTCTTCTTGTTGTTGTTGTTGTTGTTGTTGTTCTTTTTCTTCTTCTTTTTTTTCTTCTTCTTCTTCTTCTTCTTCTTCTTCTTCTTCTTCTTCTTCTTTCTTCTTCTTCTTCTTTCTTCTCTTCTCTTCTTCTTCTTCTTCTTCTTCTTCTTCTTCTTCTCCTTCTTTATCTTTCACTTTGTTCTTCTTGTTCTTCTTGTTCTTCTTGTTCGTCTTCTTCTTCTTCTTCTTCTTCTTCTTCTTCTTCTTCTTCTTCTTCTTCTTCTTCTTCTTTTCTTCTTCTTCTTCTTCTTCTTCTCTTCTTCTTCTTTTTCTTCATCTTCATCTTATTTTTTTCCCCTCTTCTTCTCCTCCTCCATCTTTTGCCTTTTAGCAGGACTGTTGCTTGTTTGATTTACACCTAGCCTGCGGTATCCGTGTTTTCCAGCCCAACCCATGAGATTTCAGCAAACCCTTATTGGTCACCTTGTACGACATGCTTGTTTAGTGGGTATCCGGTATATTATTTTCCTCTAGCAAAACAGGGCACTAGAACCGGCCTGGGGAGATGACGTTTGTATTTTACATTATTTCCCCAAATTATTTATAAGTGCATCAGACAGCACATGTCCGCTGCTTGTTCCAAATAGAATTATGAATTCACTTTCCATGATTCACTGTCATACAATAGAATAAATTCAACACAACACCACAGTAGTCAATTGATAATATGCAGTCTGTTTTTGCTGCCTGAATTTACAAGTGTTTATGGTGATATAGGACGAGGAGGTAAGGGGGTCTAGGGATTGTGAAGCATCATAAGCAAAATAAGTGTTTCAATCCATACGTCCTTTTTAGGATGAAATTTGTTTATTCGAAGCCCCACCCTGGCTTTTGCCAGGAGCCACAATATAGGCAGGCCATAAATATGGCCAATTGTCTGAACGCGGTTTCTGGGACCTCTCCACAGTGATCCTCATCCACATGGTGGCACATTGTGTCATCGGGTGTTTATCGCTTGTGTGATGTCCTAGTGGGGTAGAAAGTCAGTCAGTCAGTCAGTCAGAGAAGCATCATCAGTGTTCTAGCCAGTACTTCCCTTGTGGGATGCAATTTTTCTTTATTTTGAAGCCCCACCATGGCTCTTGCTAGGGGCTGCAATATAACCTGACCATAAGTATGGTGTAATGGCTGAACGCGGTTTCCAGGAGCTCTCCACGGGTGATTCTCATGAACATGGTGGCACTTTGTGTCATCGGGTGTTTACCGCTTGTGTGATGCCCTACTGGGGTAAAATGTACTACTACTAATTGAAGCCTCATCCTGGCTTCTGCTCGGGGGCCCTGAATATAGCCTGGGCATAGATCTGGCCTAGCCATAGATATGGCCTAACATCTGAAAGAAGCTTCTGGAACCTCTCCACAAGTGATCCTCATCCGCATGGTGGCACTTTGTCACCGGGTGTTAATGCACTTTGTCACCGGGTGTTAATGCACTTTGTCACCGGGTGTTAATGCACTTTGTCACCGGGTATTAATGCACTTTGTCACCGGGTGTTAATGCACTTTGTCACCGGGTGTTATTAATCGCTTGAGTGATGTCCTGGTAGGGGTACAACTACCTACCTACCTTAAGATTTAGAGTAATGTATCTAAACTTCCCTAATGCCGCAACTCTTTAATGCAGTTCCCCATGTTGTGCTGACCCTCCAACCATACAATCATTTTCGCTGCTACTTCTTAACTTCAGTGAATTTGTGTTTTCCTATAGTCTTTGGCGACCCCTGTAAATGGGTCATTTGACCCTCAAAAGAGTCGCTATCTACAGGTCGAAAACCGCTGATTTAGAGCCACATGCCTACTACAGTCACGGACTAGGCTGGGTATTATTGTATTTGTGACACACCAGGAAACAAAAACACAACTGACACCTTGCAGGGGATTCTTCTTATTGTATATCGTCCATTTGACGTAATGCATTGTGCATGTTTGCAGCAGATCTGTGCTGTTTACGCTATACGTATATATATTTACGTCCGACACATCCGACTTCGACGAGCATGTGTTGACGGGGTTAACCTCCTGATTACAGAGGATTTGCCAGGCGCTAGCTAAGTTGATTAAACCAGCGGCGCGGCGACTGGGTGACAGACTGACTCCTTGTGGTCCGAATTCACGCTCAGGAAGTGGCAGACAGGTCTCATATTTACCATATTTACGGTATCTGTCATGAAATCATTGTTGAAGGGTTGCGATATCCATAGACCCGAGCCGAAGGGTTTACAATTCATGGTGCCTGGATTTAAAAAAAGAAAATGAGTGACAGCAGATTCGAACCTGGGCCTCCCGAATGACAGCCCAGATTTCATAACTGCTGGCCAGCAGCTCTTATAGTATACAGTACCTGTGGTTTGTTCAACAGGATGTTTTTCATCCTGTGAAATGAAACCGTTGCTTCAAAAAAAAAAAAAAAAGCTGCATCATAATCTGACGATTTTCCCTGTCATGCAGAACCAAGAATTGATTCAAATGATTTGCGCAGGCTGTGGGGAATGACAACAATGGGCGCCAAACGTGATATTGTCTGTCGCATGGAGTAGATGTTTTATTGTGTTGTTGGTGCACAACAGCATATTCTGTGTCGGCTGGCGTGCAGGCAGAAGTGGGTCAAGTTGAAGGTTGAATCGTTCGTTCTTTTGACGTCAACACTTCTGGGAAAGTGTTCGTTTCCTGTGAACACATAGTTTCATTTGTGTGTGACATTCTGTCTCTCTCTGTCTCTCTCTCTCTCTCTCTCTCTCTCTCTCTCTTCTCTCTCTTTCTCTCTCTCACCCACTATTTCTCTCTCACCACATATCTCTTTCGGTCCCAAACAACGTGTGATGTGTGCTGCTAAGCTCTACTATTAATCCTAGGTAACACTGAATATAGTTTCGTAATGCATACAACTGATCATTACATATTAACTATCTTGCCGACACTGCGGTTGTTTTGGCTGGTCCAGTACTGGACAGAAGTGATGTTATCAATGGCATGCGCTGCATTTACAGTACCAAGGAGCACGCCAAAGGACATGACTCCGTAGTCCTGTCTAGACTGATGGACATGGGGGTGCAACCTGGAGCTGCAAGAAATGAACATTTGACTAAGGGGAAAAGACGTTTCGTTAACCAACACAGAACAGGTGTCATCAGTCGGTTTACACTTGGGGAGCATTTTGAGGAGGAGATCGGAGCACTTATGGAACTGTCCGGAGTGCTGTTATAATAATCCTTTATAATCACTAATCACTATTACATATTAAAGAAGTACGGCTTCCTCACAATTTAGCTTCTTTAAAATTACTACGCTGATGGGTTTTCCTAGTGATAATGTATACACTTGGGTATCTCATGTCGAACCTTCTTGTACTCAGTGAGTTAAATATGCATTATCTTTCATTATCCTAATGTTACCGAGTTCAGCTTCTCTTAGTGTAATTTATGTGGCGTGAGATAGCTCTTCTCGTGTCCAGCCTATTGAAAGTTATTGTTTTGCTTTCTCCTTCGAAACTGTTGCTTGAGAGATTAACATCAGGTGACTCGACCAGTATTCGGATAATAATTCCCAACGTCTCCGGGGGTAGTTAGGGCAGTCCTGCAGTACATGCTCAGGAGAATGCCTTACCTTGTCTGCACTTCAGGTCACTTTGTAACCGTCGGGGACTCCAGTATAGCCTTATCTTTGAACAACCTTTCTGGAATGTGTACCGGTGGGATTCTCATCCAAATAGTGACCCATCGCGTCATCAGGTATTAATCGCTCGGCGTGATGTCCTAGCGGGGTTTAACTTCACTCACATATGGCATTTTATTTTATAGCTGTTTTGTATAGGCGTGCTTCAAGACCACAGTGTCGCTCCAAGCCTGAAAATTGTTGCACTAAATTTACGTGCTAAGCCGGTTCTTATCACTTATAGCCACCGTGTCCATTCTTCAGTGTTGATATGCCCATAAATTTCATGTGTCTTTTCTGTGTGGTTATAATGAGAAGACTTGTAACGTTTGTCTTTGCGCTTTGTAAAGTTTTATGCCCTACATTGATCAGTTGACAACACCGCCAAATTGCCGTGCTGAACCAGTTCTTCTTATCAGGTAAAACAACACATTGGCCTCTGGCTTGTCGCAGTCTTTTGAGTGTTTGGCTTGACGTATCTTTGTTATTGATTGGTTGGGTTATTCCAATCCATGCTTCCTCCATTCTTTCTCTCTCTCTCTCTTCTCTCTCTCTCTCTCTCTCTCTCTCTCTCTCTCTCTCTTTTCTTTCTCGCTCTCTCTCTGTTTTCTCTCTCTCTCTCTCTCTCTTCTCTCTCTCTCTCTCTCTCTCTCTCTCTCTCTCTTCTCTCTCTCTCTCTCTCTCTCTCTCTCTCTCTCTCTCTCTCTCTCTCTCTCTCTCTCACTGATTGATCCAGCTCACACAACTTTTTATTGATTTGTGAATTTTCATAATTATCACTTGGCCTATTCTCTTTTATTGTCTTCTGAAATACATTCTTCTAGAAACATTGTGCATTAACATAAATCCGGCTTCCCTGAACGTGCTTTATGCGTTCTGTTTGTATTATTTTCAGTTTTTGTTGTTTTGTAATTAAAGTAAATGTTGTCGCTTCCCTGTTATTCGACACTGTGGATTGGTGATACGTAGGACCCACACAGGAAGGCAAGCAACACACTCGTTTCTAGACTGCCCTTGAGTTCTCCTTACAACGAGTGCTGTATTTGAGTGTGGAAGTAATTGTGTCTCTCTTGCAATCTCACAGGAGGAACATTATATAGACTTTAGCAAGATAATCAGAACTGAGACAATACACAGCCAAAGTTCGAGTGACTTGTCTATCAAGATGTTATTCCGGGAAGGTTTTTTTTTTTTTAAATTCAGTATGATCTATGACCTGGCTGCAGTGTAGCCATAGAAAAATATACTCATATATAATATAATCATATAAAAGTATAGTATATTGTAACTTTACAATCACTCTGCTTCGTGCAGAGTGGCATGCCTCGCTACGGAGGACACGGGTGAGCAGTATTGTCTGGATTTTTTCACCGGGGCACGCCAGTGTGTTGGGAAATAAACAGGCGGACAGACTGGCTGGCTCTGCACAACCTGGTGAAATACTGATGCATGATAAGGCAGACGTGGTTAGTGCCTTATGGGAGAGCGTGTACAATTCGGAGGAGCAGATGGATCACCACAGTCTGGTGAGATTGATGCAGCGGGGAGTGACGAGAGGTTCTGGTAGATGCTCGAAGCTCAGAGTAAAGGCAACACGGACGTTTAATCAGAGTGCTACTGGCACCATTAGTATCGGAACTCTTCACTGGCTGCTGAAGATGGGGACAGAGCGTTTATGGAAATGCCCCGAGTTCTTGAATCAAATCAAATCAAATCAGTCACCTGATTTGTTTTCATTATACAGTGAATATATAATGAGATCTATCATGGATATATCAGGAACTGTGTTTGGTGGTCATAAATTAAACAGTCCTACATTATTCAGATGACAGCGTCTTGATAGCGACAAGTCAGAAAGAACTACAGGGGTTGATACATAGGGTGGTAGTTAGTCAGCTTCATATCATCTACAGAACATTGTGGAAATAACACCTGCCTTTTTTGTTGTTGTTGCTGTTGTGGTTTTCTAGGCAAATTTTACGTTCTTGCTTGACTTTATAAACCCCAACATAACTAAGTTTGTAGATGTCATGTGCATCATCAGTTGTTTTCATTTCTTCTTCAGATTAACATTCCCTACTCAGGATACATCCCTGGTGGGATCAGTGTTGGCACTGATGTTGTCATCTCAGGCAGGCCCAATCCTGACTTCACCAGGTATGTAGTGTCAGCTGTTTCAAGTAGATATATCACAATCACAGACGCGGTCCATTATAGAAGTAAAGAATTTAGTATTGGCAGATTTTACCCCACCAGGACATCACGCAAGCGATAAACACCCTATGACAAAAAGTGTCTCTATGTGGATGAGGATCACCCGTGGAGAGGTCCAAGAAACCGCGATCAGCCATTAGGCCATATTTATGCCCGGGCTATATTATGGCCCCTGGCAAGAGCCACGGTGGGGCTTCAAAATAACGAAAAATTGCATCCCACATGGGGACGACTAGTCAGTAGGGGAAGTAAAGAAGTAGAGTGTAGCCATTCATGCCTGTTGTATGGGCAGCTAAGACAGGGTGGCATGAGACTGGCTATCCCCTCTTCCAGAAAACTGTAACTGCAGAATCCACTCAATCATAAACACGTCCAATGATAAGAGAGCCCAAGGTGAGGGCCTATGCTCCAGGAAGAATAAACATAGAAGATTAAAGATGGTTTGGGTCTTGAATTCCAGATACTCCGTTTTATGTGAATTCCTGTAGTGGTTTCTTCCCAGCATAGATTTACCTTTCTGTGGAACCTCATCACCTCCTATTGACAATCACCTATATTTACCTCAGCAGCTAATAAGCAGGGAAAAAATATAGTTATAAACAAACAAGTGGAAACTTTTTTTTAAAATATTTAAATTTCACACAATTTGGCAACCCTATTTGCAGCATGCTGACCACATTACTTATCAAAAGAGGGATCCAACAATGTAAGACTAATATCCTATTTCAGGGCCACTCATGTCATCACCTCCTATTCATGTCATCACCTCCTATTCACCTCATCACCTCATATTCACCTCATCACCTTCATATTCACCTCTTGTAGTCTGATCTTCACCTCATGATCACCCCATCGTGTGAAAACATTGCTTTTACATAGATATTCTAAAAAAATGTCATTCCCATGTGAAATGCAATTTTTAGTTATTTAAAGTTCCAACCTAGCTTTTGCCATGGCCCTGAAAATAGCTGCGCCACAATTGTGGCCATAACGGCTGAAATGGGTTTCTGGGACCTCTCCACGAGTGATCCTCATCCTCATGGTGGCACTTCGTGTCACCGGGTGTTTATCGCTTGTGTGATGTCCTAGTAGGGTACAACTACCTACCTACCTTACATAGATCTCTCTTATTGGCAGATTCTCCATCAACCTGTGTGCCGGCCCGACCCATGATTCGGACACAGCCTTGCACTTTAACCCCAGGTTCAATGAGGGAAAAGTGGTCAGGAATCACAAGCAGGGAGGAAGCTGGGGGATGGAGGAGACCAGTGGGGGCATGCCCTTCCGCAGGGGCCATAACTTTGAATTTCATATGAAAGTTGAGGCTCAGTGTTATAAGGTAATGCTGTAATGTTTTTTTTTGCTTTGTTTTTGTGGTGAATGTTTTTATTTTGTTTGGCTTATTGGATCACAAGAGTCACAGGATCAGCCAAGCATTGTGGTTCTGGCTTTTTTGTAGAATAGGTACTGGATAACTTTTAGAATGGATTTGAAGGGAAAGGCAGTGCTAAGGGAACTGGCTATCACACCTCATTACATGACCTAAAATACAGAACATTCAAGTAGCTAGGTACATGGACAACATCAGACAGATGTTCTACAAATATTAAAGAACAGAATAGGACAGGCAAAAACTGCATTTAATAAAATGAAAAGCATCTTATGTAATAACGGCCTGTCATAGAAGATTAGTCAGCTCTGTGGCTAAGTCGATTCGAACGCTTCGTAATGCCAGGATGCCGGGTTTGATTTCAGCTGCGGGCCATGCGCCTTGCATTGGTTTCGACAGTGGTATCAAGAAAGCCGACCGTCCAGTAAGCAATGGCAAACTACTGGACATAAACTTGCCTAGAGAAACCACACAACAGCCAGGGGCTGCTGGGGTTAGTTCTGCAACGTCCTGTAAAGGATACACAACTAACCATGGGAGATTAGAAAAAAAGAATCATACTCCAGTTTGAACATATAACTAGGAATCCTTGAGAATTTAGATATGTTATCTAGGCTTTCTTCTAGATTTGTGAGTGGTGAAATTGTATAGTTGCCTCTATTAAAGTAGGGCCCACTGTGATATGGTTTCACTGAAGTATTAAAGATTAAACACCACAGTCTTCATTCCTGCTAGGGTTTACTGACATTAAAGAAGGTATGCATGCTGCCATGTTTGTGGGAAAATATTCTCCCATACTATCTGTGTCTTTCGACCTGCCGTCTCTGTCTTCAACGTGCTTTTCTTTCCCAGTCTCCTGATATGTTTTCTGACAGAAGGATCGAAGAAGAAGAAGACTGAAGAAGCCAATTTCCTGGGGCCTCAGAGATGTGGTTTTACAGAAGAATGCTTATACTTTTGTGGACAGTCAAAACAGAGTAACTGTGATGTTTTGAAAGAGGTGAGGGCTTGAAGACAACTTATCACAAATATCAGAAAGAGACAGTCATCATTTTTTGGGGCCATGTTATTAGAAACTAAAACAAGCTGCGACCACTGGAAGGATTTGTGGAAGGATAGAGGAAGATTCTTGACAGTGTTTTGTCATGGCATCGGAGGGTATTAGAACACAAACTGATACATGCTGTTGGAGGTTGCAGGTTGTGCAGAGGCATGATAACCCATGCCAGTCGAAAAGGCACTTGGCGATGATGATAATGATGATGACACTTTTTCACTAGCAGTAATAGTATTTGCAATTATTTTTTGTTTTTTATGTGCTTTCTTTATATCCTACCCCAAACAGGGGAAATCCACAGGTCACGGGACAGTCTAATATTTCAGAGAGTGGTAGATAGGCTGCATGCAGTCGTGGGACCTAGGCTGCACTCTGTTGTGTGACATAGGTGGGTTGGGGTTAGGGCCAGTTCTAGATGTTTTGGGGTCGTTAAAAGCATCAGAAAGCCAGAAAACACAGTCTTACCACCCTCTAAAATGTTGGACTGTCCTGTGTCGTAATCTGGGGTAGGATATTAGGAAAGAGCCGGTTTTTTTATGTAATAGTACAATGGTGAATAATTTAATGACGCCATCATTGTCTGTGTTTCAGATCACGATAAACAACAAGCATTTCTGTAACTTCCATCACAGAATCCCCAAAGAAAAAGTTCAGTATTTGTACATTGAAGGTGATGTGACCATCAGTTTCATACAGTTCCGTGGACAAGGAGGGGTAAGTTTGTATGTCTGTCTGAAATGGGTGAATGTAAAACATGGCTATAAAACTCAACAAATAAAGTCAAATGCTGATTAACAGCAAATGTTTCCATGAAAACTAAAATGATCTCGGTGAAGAGAAACAGAGAATGCTTAGATAAAAGCTGGAACAACACAATCCACGACTGAGTTATCAAAATGTCTCATGGAAACAAGCTTAAACTTGTAGTACGGGAACAATTAGACATGGCTTGCCTGCTTATCTGTCAGCTTGTCCATACTTGATGATAACCAGATTAAAATGTCTGTGATAGTGTCTAACTATAAACCTCTTGGCCTTGCTCCAGAACCAGATTAAAATGTCTGTGATAGTGTCTAACTATAAACCTCTTAGCCTTGCTCCAGAACCAGGTTAAAAAAAATATTCTGGATATGTCGTCTATGACTGTCTTTTATGTTGACCTTACCTTAACATATTAAAGACTTCCATTATTTGAAGTATGTACTAGCTTAAGAGCTAGTTTATTGGGGCCAAACTGAACACAAAATTACTTTAATGAGCAGGTAACTTTTATCAGGGGTATTAGTTAATCATAGTTCCAACTTCATGGCTAAAGATGTCACTCCATAGCTAATCTGTTCCAGTGCCAGCCAAAACTAAACAGAATGTCCGTTGTTGTCTCTAGTGGAAAATAATTTGAAATAGACTGCTCTCTCAGCAAAGCCAATAGCATACACAGGCATTTAATGCATGAGGCAGTTGAGAAGTGCCGACATAAACAGTCTGCCACTGGAATTGCAGTTCACCATTGACTGAAGCAGTAGTTAAAACAGATCAGTAGTTGCACAGGCAGTTTTGCATAAGGCACCATCAGTTCTGTGGCAGCAGGCCACTCACAATTTTCTGTTCATAACAAAAGCCATGTTGGGCACAGCTGAAAAGTATCCCAAATGAATCTGCTGTTCACAGTGTCGAGCCATGCACTCAGCTCAGTATCTGGGTGATGGAACTATTATTGGGGTATTAAATCAATCAGCTAACAGTATGTTACGTATTACTGTCTAGAATATAAAAACAGGTGGTTCATACATGATATAATAGACCAAAACTGTCACTTAACACAGATTAAATTAGTCCTGTCAGAACAGGATACAGAAGCATGATTAAACATAGAATGCAGAACATTGAATGTATCATTATCTGTTGTGACGTGAACACTTACTCACACAGACAGACATCCACACATACATGTTTTATTAGGCTCAGTGATTTTTCTATTGTCATCAGTCACATGTCCTTTACACAACTTCGCTGTCGTCATGGCACGCTGAAAGTCTGTTTCTTCTCTAGCCAGTTTTCCAGTCATCTTTGCTTTCATAACCAATGCATCTTCATTATCCTTTATCCACCTTTGTGGAGGTCTGTCCCTGCCTCATCTTCTTGAATCTGTATCCTCCATCACAGTTTTCTCCAGCTTTCAGGACAGGATGCTGTTTATGAGATAGTTCTCGTTGATGCTCAGATCATGTAGGATGCTGTTTATGAGCCATTTCTCATCAATGCTCAGATCATATAAGATGCTGTTTATTAGCCAGTTCTCTATGATGCTCAGATCATGTAGGATGCTGTTTATGAGCCATTTCTCTTCGATGCTCAGATCATGTAGGATGCTTTTTATGAGCCAGTTCTCATCAATGCTCAGATCATGTAGGATGCTGTTTATGAGCCATTTCTCTTCGATGCTCAGTTCATGTAGGATGCTGTTTATGAGCCAGTTCTCATCAATGCTCAGATCATGTAGGATGCTGTTTGTGAGCCAGTTCTCTATGATGCTCAGATCATGTAGGATGGTGTTTATGAGCCAGTTCTCTAGGATGCTCAGATCATGTAGGATGCTGTTTATGACCCAGTTCTCATCAATGCTCAGTTCATGTAGGATGCTGTTTGTGAGCCAGTTCTCATTAATGCTCAGATCATGTAGGATGCTGTTTGTGAGCCAGTTCTCATCAATGCTCAGATCATGTAGGATGCTGTTTATGAGCCAGTTCTCTATGATGCTCAGATCATGTAGGATGCTGTTTATGAGCCAGTTCTCATCAATGCTCAGATCATGTACGATGCTGTTTGTGAGCCAGTTCTCATCAATGCTCAGATCATGTAGGATGCTGTTTGTGAGCCAGTTCTCATCAATGCTCAGATCATGTAGGATGCTGTTTGTGAGCCAGTTCTCATCAATACTCAGATCATGTAGGATATCAAAAGCTCTCTTTTTTTTCTTTAGTGATTAAGTAAGAGTCCATGACTCAAAGCCCATAAGTTGCAATTGGAACAATGCATGATCTCAAAATATTGTATGTTAGGTTGCTGGCATGTGCTGTGCAATAGATTCTCCATGCTGTTTGGTCTCTTCCTTGCTAAAGCAGCAAGTATTTTTCTTGGTTACGCTACATTAAAAAAAAAGCTGCTTCTGTAGACTTTACTTAAAAATGTGTACAGGATGAAGAAACGTGAGAAGAAGGGAAAAGAACCTTGTAACTCCTCACAGTGCCATTCTTCTCAGATTGTAATGATCTATTTGTTTCTTCTCGTGGAAGACCAAGGGAAACCCTACGTAGAACTATCATCAGGGAAGGCTCGCTCATGGACCACTCAAACATCCAAGACCTACAACGGATTGCAACGAACCGCCATGCATGGAGAGTCATGACCTCTGCCCTATGTGCCGCACTCGACACAAGAGGAAAGACTAACTAACTGTTCACTCACTCCCAAAGGGCCCTCACAGCATCCAGCTTGTCATACATCAGTTCACCACAAAGTAATGCAGAACCGGCCAGTCTATCTGCCTGCTCATTTTCCAACACACCAGAATGACCTGGAGAAAATATCCAAAGGGTGCTAACTACCCGGGACCTTTGAAGGGATGCTTGCCGCTCTGCACGGAGCATGACTGTCTCCACCTTTCTCAACATGCTGTGTGAGTCAATTACAATGACGGCATGTGTGTACAGCTGATTCTCAGGCAGTAGTGACTGCCTCCACCTCTATTCTCAAACTAGACATTTGCCCAATACTACTGAAAACGTGGAAACACTTTATGAGTGTAGCAAAAAGTTACTGAGTATTCTTTTTCTCCCTTTTTTCCCTTTCAGTTCCCTAGTGGAGGCATCCCACCACCATCTGTAAGTACAGTCTTGTGTATGATTTTCTGTTTCTACCATTAGTGATTAGTGAGAACTATCACCACAGCACTCTGGACAGATCCGTTGGTGCTCCTGTCTCCTCAATGATCCCACAACATATCTTATGTGTTCTTATGTCTAAAAAAAAAACAACCTTTTCCATGCCTCCAGACTATATTTTATAGACATATTTTATAGACATATTTTATAGACATATTTTATAGACATATTTTTATAGACATATTTTATAGACATATTTTATAGACATATTTTATAGAAATATTTTATAGACATATTTTATAGACATATTTTATAGACATATTTTATAGACATATTTTATAGACATATTTTATAGATATATTTTATAGACATATTTTATAGACATATTTTATACACATATTTTATACACATATTTTATAGACATATTTTATAGACCAATTGACATTTCTTGGGTGAGGTAGTCAACATCATGCCAGCCACCTTTACTTCCCAGGACTTTACCTGCTACCCATTTAAGGCTGGATCCACCTGGGAACCATCGTCATCATCATCATATAGCAGGTCCTTTGCAGAATGTCGCTCTCATTATGGTCTGCAAGAGAGAAACTTGGCCTCTCGCCAGCACTCCCGCCTGTTGTACTTTCATACTCAAGGAGTCACTTATATCTTGTGCTCATCTTCATGCTGGTCGGTCCTTGCCCCTCCTTCCTGGCACCTTGCCTTCTGCTATTATTTTTTCCAATCCATTGTGGCGTTTAATCTGACCAAAATATTTCAGCTTCCGAGACAGGATGCTGTTTTTTAGCTAATAATCTTCTTTGACGTTCAAATCTTTCAAGATGTCTGTATTTCTCCTCTTCTTTGTCTAAGATATGGGAGCCATCACATTGTTATTATTTTTTTTTTTTTACTAATCCTGCTCTATTCAGATTTGAATCCACAACCTTCAGATGTGTCTTCATTGACTTATGTGTGTTAGGCCCATGTATTTTTCTGCAGCAACCATACTTTCCATTACTGTACTTTCTAATCTTCTGTGATGGCATTACAAATATATGTCAGTATATGAATTATTATGTTGTTTATGAGTCATCTTTCTTCATTATTCAGATCTCCTAGAAATCAAAATTTTTCTCACCCTTTTCCAGTTTTGTGTAAGATTTCTCCATAAAATTTTAAGCTTACAAGCTGAGTGATGCTATAGTAGATAGGGAAAAACAGTAAAGAAAGACAAATGATAATATTGTTGAAATATTTAACTCTTTGAGTCCCAAGGAACGCATCATATGTTCGTAGATTCCTACCTAGAGGCCCAGTGAATGCATGATGCGCCGATTTTACGTCTCTCTTGACTATCCCTTGGGCCTGTGATGCTAAACCCCATGGGACTCAAAGAGTTAACAAACGCAGGCTGACCTATTCAAAAAAAAAGGAAATGCCTTGTTTTTTAAATAAAATTACAGAATAGAAAATCTTGGATGTGAAATAAAGAAACAAATAAAGGACATTGGTTTCCCATGCATAAAGAGACTTGTTGCTAATAGATGATAGGTAAAACCATAGCGGTTATAACATTAATTTGTCATCGCAGTTTGTCAAAATATGCCAGTTTTTATTTATTATTTTATTGTGCTTGGCGAGATTTTGACCACATTGCTCATTGAGAGCCCAACTGGCCAACAGTAATTTGAGTTTAGCCACATATGCCAGATACAGCGCTGGCGTCAAAGGGAAAATTAACTTTTTAAAAAATATTTTATTGTGCTAATTGATGTCATGTTGGGAAGTTTGGCACCCTGTGGTATTTCAACATCGCTGATAGTGTTTTCAAAATCTGCTCGTGTGGAGGAATGATTATTAAAGAGGTTAACATAACTGGAGTCAGTTTTCTTGTGACATCATTAGAATTTAAGAACAATTTTCGAATGCAAACATTATTACTTCATTATGAAATTGTTTTTTTTTGTATTTTGATCATGTTTTTTAGTACCCTGGCGCTGTCCGTCTACCTGCAGTAAGTAGTGCTCTAAGTACAGTGTTCTATATATAGTGCTTTATCTGTATACATTGTTCTAATTACAGTGTTATTATATAAAGTGTTTTAAGTACAGTGTTTTATATATATATATATAAATACGTACAAATGTTATAAGTACAGTGTTCTAACTAAAGTGTTTTATTTATTTAAAGTGTTCAAAGTACAGTGTTTTGTACACAGTGTCCTATATACAGTGTTTTGTCTATATACATTAATCTAAGTACAGTGTTTATGTATTTATAAAGTGTTCTAAGTTCAATGGTTTATATGTATACAAACAAAGTGTTCTAAGTTCAATGTTTTTTATTTATACATATAAAGTATTCTATGTACAATGTTTTATATATGCATATATAATGTTCTAAGAACAGTGTTTTATATATATATATATATATATATATATATATATATATATATATGCATAAAATATGTTTAAGTACAGTGTTTTATATATACATATAAAGTGTTCTCAGTACAGTGTTTAATATATACATAAAATGTGTTCTAAGTACAGTATTCTAACTATGGGTTTTATATATGTATAAAGTGTTCTCAGTACAGTGTTCTGTATACTGTGTCCTATATACAGTGTTCTAAGTACAGGGTCCTATATACAATGTTTTTACTACAACGTTCTATTCTTATTCAAACATTGGTACTCAATTATGAAATTATTTTTGTGTGTTTCAGTACCCTGGGCCTGCTCCTCTGCCTACTGTAAGTAGTGTTCTAAGTTCATTGCTATATTTACAGTGCTCTGTATACAATGTTCTATGTAAAATGGTTTAAGTAATGTTCTATGTGCAGTGTTCTAAATACAGTGCTCTGTATACTGTGTTCTGTATAGTGTTATAAGTACAGTATTCTGTGGATACAATGTTCTAAGTACAGTGTTTGTATACTTTGTTTAAACTACAGTGTTCCAAATACAGTATTATACAGGGTTCTGTATACAATGTTGTAAGTAAAATGTTCTGTATGCAGTGTTCTATGTAAGTGTTGTATGTAGTGTTCTATGAACAGTGTTCTAAGTAATGTTCAGTATACTGTGTTCTAAGTACAGTGTTCTGTATACAGTATTGTAAGTACAGTAATCTGAGCAGATTGTTCTATATAGTGTATTCTATATACAGTATTTTGAGTACAGTGTTCTGTATGCAGTGTCCAAAGTACAGTGATACATATACAGTGTTCTAAGCACAGTGCTGCATAAACAATGTTGTGAGCATTGTTCTAAGTACAGTGTTCTGTATACAGTGTTCTCAGTAAGGTGTTCTAAATACAGTGTACTAATTGCAGTGTTCTATATAGAGCATCTAAGTACAGTGCTCTAAGTACAGTGTTCTGTATACAGCATTCTAAGTACAGTGTTCTAAATACAGTGTTCTTTACACAGTGTTGTGTTTATTTCTGAAACTTTATCGAACAAGTAATTTCTTTGTTTGTTTTACTTTATGGCCAATGCAGAGTTCAAATACTAATGGTTCCAGACATAGTCTGGTTATATGTCTATCTTGCCTTTCCTCTGAGTGCAGTGAGCCAGCCAGACCCTCTGGTAACACCCAAGTGCATCATTCTCTCCAGGCCATAATAATCTAGTTTCTCTTCCAACTTATTTACTTGTTTAAAGGGCCTTGGCCACATCTGCCTTGTCATGTATCAATTCACCACCCAGTGGTGCAGATCCAGCCAGTCTGTCTGCTTGTTCATTACCCACCACGCCGGCATGGCCTGGAGAAAAGATCCAAAGTATCTTCACTACCCGTGACCTTCCAAGTGAAGCTTGCCACTCTGCTCGAAGCATTCCTGTCTTCACCTTTCTCAGCATGCTTTCAGAGTCTGTTACGATTACGACATGTGTATGCATCTTGTTCTCTAGCCACCGGAAAACTGCAGTGACTGCCTCCACCTCCATTCTCATGCTAGATGTTGTGGTATCATATGCTAAGCTGTCCTGCACTAAAGATTTTCCACTGGCTTTCAAACCCCAGGCACTTTCAGTCATTGTGTCAACTCTGAGCTGATACCTGAAGGCTTACCATACCTCCCAGAAATAATAAAAATGTTAATCTGAATGGCAGGCTAACAAGATAGATGTAAGATTCCCAGTTCAACATCCAAAGAAGTTATAATTAGGCCACTCAAAATAGCTACAACATAGAAGTGTAACCTGCAGTTATTTACCCATAAGGATAAACACATAAAATCTTCTTCTTTTTATTTTAGTACATGCTATGTGACGTTGGTAGTCATGTCTAACCACAACCTTCCATATCATGTACTTTCATTCATTTCTGATACAGATTATCTTCCATGCCATGATGGTCAAACTGTCGAGCATCTTCTCTCATGGTCTTCCTCTGCATCTTCCCCCTTCAGCAATACCACTGTCAGGATTTACTCCAGTTTTCTCCTTCTCTTGAGACATAAGATTGTCTCCTTTTGATGTGGGCAAAAAGTTATCTTCATGGGTCAGTTTCTTTCAAGATGTCTTGATTACTCGATTTATCTGTCAAGGTTGCTCTCACGGTTCATCTATAAAACCACATCTACACCAATTCCACATAAGTTTTCACTAGTCATCTAACTGCACATGATTTATTTCCTTATATCAGAATTTGGTTTATAAAGTTTTCTAGCCTTAACTGACAAAAAAAAAAAAGATTCTGTAGAATGGTATACTTTTGAAAACTTAGGGGCCATTTGCTAATGTGATGGAAAAACAAAACAAGAGTTAGCCAAAGAAAACTGAGTAATGAAACAGTTCATTAGAACTCAATATGGAGTAAGTAAAAGGACTGTTCAAAGGAAGATACTTTTACAAAGTATTAGATCATTAGGTTCTGTGGAGAATGGCACTGTGGGAAGTTACCAGGGAATCTGGCCGATGTTCAACACTCAAGGGAACGGTGGAACAGATATACAAACAGACAGTTACTGGTACTATCAGATCTGTAACTCTTAGCTTCCTGCTGAAGATATGGACGGAGGGCTTATGGCTTTCTTTTACCATGCTGATAAGATTCTGACCTATTTTATCAAAGGATAGTTATTTTTCATGATTGTTATTTCCTCAAGATAAAATACAAACCTGGCTTACAAATAATCTGATAAATTAGATCATAATTAGATAAATACCCTTATTATTTCTGACTTAATAAAAATGGTGAACACTTTATTTTGTTACTGGAGGAAAATCTAAATTATAAAAAAGAAAACTGTTGCCTTTTCAGTATCCAGGTTACCCTAGCCCATCAGGTGGGCCCCTCTACAATCCTGTGAGTATATTAGTATATTTAAATATAAGCTTTTGGTAAATATGTATCTCTTACTCTATATTAAATAAGACAAGAGACCAAGCGTGATAATATATCCAGTTTTATGAGAAAGCATGGCCTAGAATTATATTGGCCATGCACTCTGAATGGATAAGTCAAGACTCCACCATCAAGCCCCCATATGGAGACTGAAAGGAAAGAGAAAACAGGGAAGACCAAGAGAGAGTCTGCATAGAACCATCATCATGGAAAGCTTAACCATGGGCCTAATGAACATCCAAGACCTAAAATAGGTAGCAACGAATAACCAGACATGGAGAGCTTTGACCTGCGCCGCCTTAGGCTCAGAAAGAAAGACTATCTAACTAACAAACTCGATATTAGCTCATACAAATTGTTGAAGCAACATTTGTCATTAATCAGGTAACCAAATTCCATATTGTCCATCACTTCAAGTGTATCATTATTGTTGCTTTCATATTACCTATCAAGTCAAGTTTGTCATGCTTGTTGCTTTGATATAACCCATCAAGTCAAGTGTATCATATTTGTTGCCCCCATACTTCCCATCAAGTCCAGTGTATCATTACTGTTGCTTCCACATTACCCATCAAGTCAAGTGTATCATATTTGTTGCCTCCATACTTCCCATCAAGTCCAGTGTATCATTACTGTTGCTTCCATATTACCCATCAAGTCCAGTGTATCATATTTGTTGCCTCCATACTTCCCATCAAGTCCAGTGTATCATTACTGTTGCTTCCATATTGCCCATCAAGTCAAGTGTATCATATTTGTTGCCTCCATACTTCCCATCAAGGCCAGTGTATCATTACTGTTGCTTCCATATTACCCATCAAGTCAAGTGTATCATATTTGTTGCTTCCATATTGTCCATCAAGTCAAGCATGTCCACAGTGTTGAAATGCCATTCTGAACATCACTGAATATTCACTTCACTGTTTGTGCAGCCTGTTCCTCTGACAACCCCTATCCAAGGAGGAATGTACCCTGGAAAGATCATCTACCTAACCGGAATACCAAAGCAAAATGCCAATCGGTAAGAGCAACATATTTTATCCGTGTATTATCGAGTTTGTTAATCTTGAACGTCTGTTATTATTCTCAAAATAAAATCACAATAGTTAATTGTTATATTTCTATTATTCTTTTCACCATAATAAATTTTATCATTGTCATATCACTGTTATTCTTCATACAATAATATCAAACTGCTTAATTGTCATATATCTGCTATATTTCCTGCAATAATAAAATAAAAGTTGTCATATACAGTGTACAGAGTTTTCTTTATCTTTACTCACTGTGGACCCAAAGAATGTTTCTTTTTATTAGAAACCACACGGGAGATAATGCATTCATGTTGCCTGTATTACCAACCATTGACCCAGTCATTCATTCTTTAGCAGATCCTTTACAGAAGGACGCTCTCACCACAGTCTGCCTGAAACTTGGTCTCTTGGCAGATCTCCTGCCTTCTTGCACTTTCCTACCCAAGGTTATGTTATCACAATCGACATCATTGCATATTGGGCATTCCCATGCATGCTCAGTACTCTGATGCAGCAGCCACTCAAAGATACTTCTACTGATTGTTTCCATGGAAGGTTGGTTATGATATCTCCCATCTTGGCGGCATACACAAGCTTCACTATGCTTTACTCTCATGTCACACAATCGTGTTAATGTCAGAGATTCGTTGTTATTCACTAGCCCAGTGCGCGCAGCATTGATGATATCTGCTCTGTCCATGCTTCTTCCCACATGCGTTGGTGCACTGCCTGCCAGTTGGTCCACTCCCTCATTACCGTCTATGCCAGCATGGACTGGTGTGTAGATCCAGGTGAGGGAGGTTAAGTGCAGTTTTCAAAGGCTTTCTACGCATTCAGAGTGCATAACTCCTGTTGCTATCTTCTGAAGCATGTTCATGGAGTCTGATATAATTACTGCCTGTGTGGCTGTTTGCTCTGCTGCATGCTTGATATTGTTGCCTGTTAAGCATCTCTGTCTTGTATTGTTTTTCCCATCCTTTATGCTGTGTATTCCCATACTGACCTTGATTCGTGCTTCACAGATCCATCGGTTTAGATGATGATGTCTTTTGGGCATGAATGCTGATCTATAGGTGCCCTTACCTCTGTGTCTATAGCAACAGGAATCTGATCCCTGCAATACCTGCCCAGTGTATGACAACCACAGAGATACAATGCATGTCTATTTGTGTATATATCCATTCTTTTGTGTGTGTGATTTATCTCGTCCTGGTCACATACATGCTTAATTATATCTTCATCCTTAGCCATCCAGGAGTGGCCTCTTTTGAGACTCATTCCTGTTTTGTCGTGTATAGCTTTGTTCAGTGGGTGGTTAATGTCTGCTGCTACCCTCATGTACGCCTTGACATGTGCCACTTTGTGTTTGTTTGTTAGCCGGCATACCCTGGACATATCACATGGCATGGCAGGAGGTGTCTTTTCTGCAGTCAAGTATGAGTCTACCCAAGGTATCCCTTATATCCCGTGCCCATCTTTATTCTGGTTGGCCCCTGCCTCTTTTTTTTTCTGGGACCATGCCTTTTGCTATTATCTTTTCCAATCCACTGTGGTGATTTGTTTTGCAAAAGTGTTTCTATTTTCAAGACAAAATGCTGTTTACTAGTCAGTTTTTCGTTTTTTTTTTTTTTTAGATCTTTTAGGATGTCAATTTTTCGTTTCTTCTTTGTTCTTGGTATTCTGAAAATATTTCTATAGCATTTCAGCACAAAAGCTGATATTTTGGCCCACTAATTGTTGTATAATTTCATGTACAAGGTGTTTCTAATGTCTTATGTGCACTTTCCTGCTAGCTTACTGTTGATAACATGACTTCAATTACTGTTCTTTCTTTACCATTCTGGAATTTAACATCACCAAAAATATTTCACATACAAAAGAACTTTTGGAACAACATGAATACATGTATTAATTGAAAAGAAGACCAAAGTAGTTTGACCATTCAATGAGAATGGATCCACTGATACCAGAAACGAGAGTTTGCTAAATAAAAGTAGAATCAGAAAGAGGCAGGGGACAACCAAGAAAAATATGGATTGCAAGTATCACTGATACCTTGAGACTCTACAGCATCACAGCTTACCATGCAGCCGAGCATGCCTAACTTGGATACCAGTCAGCTGTTAGCCTGCTAGGCCATAGCGGCACAAAACAGACAATGGACAAAAGAAAGAAGGAAAAATGTATCAGTTTTTAGGTCAGTTTTCTTTGATGTTCACATCTTTTAAAATGCCAGTATTAGTGCTATTCTTCATTTATGATATTCTAAGACATTTTCTGTTATATTTCGACACATTTCACCTTAATGATGAGAGAAAGGAAAAACTAGAGCAAGTTTCGACATGGGAAAGAGAGGCACAGAGAGAGACTAGAAGAGAAGAGGCTGGACAGTTTGACATCATGACATGGAATAGCATCTATGTCAAAAATGATTGACAGTACACAAGAATAGTAGTAGTAGTAGATTTTGACCCCACTAGGACATCACACAAGCGATAAACACCCGATGACACAAAATGCCACCATGTGGATGAGGATCACCCATGGAGAGGTCCCAGAAACCGCGTTCAGCAATTAGACAATTTTAATGGCCGAGTTATATTGCGGCCCCTGGCAAGAGCCAGAGTGGGGTTTTAAATAACACAAAAACTGTATCCTACAAGAAGATGACTGAGAGCATTTATCAGAATTGACTGACTGACTTTCTACCCCACCAGAACATCACACAAGCGATAAACATCCGATGACACAATGTGCCACCATGTGGATGAGGATCACCGTGGAGAGGTCCCAGAAACCACGTTCAGCCTTTAAGCCATATTTATAGCCAGGCTATATTGCGGCCCCTGGCAAAAGCCAGAGTAGAGCTTCAAATAACGAAGAATGTTATCCTAAAAAGGACGAGATTTAGATTTATCAGAAAGAAGGTTGTGGACAAACATTAATATCATCGCCACACAGCATATAAGAAGAAGAATTTGTTTGATGATTTCACTTTTATTAAGAATAAAGTTCAATTGAAACATGTTCTTTGTTGACCACCCACAGCTTTAATGTCAATCTGACATGTGGAGCTCATGAGTCTTCCAATATTGCCCTCCATTTTGACGCCCGCTTCCACTTTGGAAATGACAGTCACAATGTTGTTGTTCGAACTCACAGACAGGGAGGTAACTATGGACCAGAAGAACGACATCAGAATTTCTTCCCATTTACTCCTGGAGTCAATTTTGAGATCATGATTCTGGCAGAACATGCCAGTTTTAAGGTATTTTCTTATGATATGAACCATTTTAATCAACAGAATGTAAAATATTATTAATCATTTGTGATCCTTTCAATATTCTTTCTTTGTATGAAGATATTCAGCCCAGAAACATCCAACAGCTGCAGAAAATTGGTTTGCGAAGAACATTCAAATGATGGAAAACCACAGTGTTATGAGTTGAGACCTAACATCATAGCACTTGGCATATTTGAAAGTGAAATGTGCTTTCGTGACAAATGCATTTTCAATGTCCTGTATCCACCTTCACATTTTCCATACACTGCACCTTGTCAGCGACCTTCTCTCTTCTATATTTAATCTGGCTCTTTTTGTAGGCTGATAACAGACAAAACTACCCTACTACACACCCAAACCAAACACCGGCGGAGCCAAAAAAGAGTCTTTAATGAACAAAGATCAAGTCAAACTATCAGTTGGCCTCAAATGTGGTGAAAGTCCCTAATCCGAAATGGCGGCCGCCTAGTTTTTACACTAGGGGGTCTGTGCCGTTCTCATGAATATCCTGGAATTCAAATCCACTACACTTTCATAAATGTGTTAGTTAAGCCGCTGTCCTCTCCACACGAGATTCTGAGGTGCACCGGTGAAAGGCCCAAATGGTTGGGGGCAGTGTTAACGCCACAACCACTGCATGATAACTGTACAAAACTTCCTAACAGATTCTACACATACACTTCTAATCTCTAAGGAATTGCTACAGCGGAATAACTTGCTTCAGAACATTGTATAAAGCTGATCACAATTATGACTTAATCATGCAATACACTTACACTCGTTTGTCCTGATGGTCTAACCTTGAGGTCGTGTCTGGGTGCAGACATGAGTGATTTTTTTAAATTTTAAGTTTCCAGAAACCATAAGTTGTTAACTCTTAGGCTCGGTACTATGAATATCGCAACCCTTCGGGCTTGATTCCATGATAAGTACCGTAAATCTAGGAAAAATGTGGCTTTTCTGCCTACCCCTGGGCTTGAACCTGGACCACAAGGAGTTCGTCACCCGGTCACTGCAAAGTCACGTTTAACCAACTACGCTAGCGAGCCTGGCCGACATGAGTGATAAACATAAATATCCCTACTAGTATAACCATAAATATCCCTACTAGTATAACCATAGGCTGATCTGGCACCTGACAAACCCTCCAGGCCACCCTAATGCTTAACATGGCAAACACATGTCAGCTTTTGGGACAGGATGCTGCTGTTTATGAGCCAATTCTCCTCGATGTTCAGATCATGTAGGATGTTAGTTTTATTCTTCTTTTCCGTACACTGTATTCTAAGAAGTTTTCTAAATACATTAGAATAGCAAAACTACTAGGGTCGAGAATATGCCCCCGCCCTCTTTTTCCCTTTAATATCATGGACCCCTTGAAGGTGTACAGACCACCAGATAGGAACCACTGGCCTAGAAAATGTGAAGGTCAAACAATGCCTAACAATACTGTTCGCTGAGAGACAACATTTTTTTTAAAACCACGGGCGAGTATGAAAACAAATAAGGCAGTCTTTAAGACAACTATCTCCCCAGAAGCTGCCGATCAGAAGAGCAGTGCTCTACCTGTCCACCTGATGGAGCTTCCCTCCTAGACCGGCTGCCAGCCAAGGCTTAAGTCCTGGTCTGCCCTTTCATAACATAATGTTTTCAGGTTGCATTTCCTCTTCCCAGGATTAGGCTAGTATATAAGAAGCAAATACAGACTAAATAATTTAGAGAATAAACCTAGACATTGGAGGGTTGGGGGATGATGGGAAATGTTGTGAGTAAAAATAATCTTGATAACTTAGTGTGGATGTGGGTTCTGGGGCCCCTTTGTAGGGAAAACGAGAACAGACCCCCAAGCATGTGGTAAGAGATGACTAACAAGGGGCATCCTTTCGAAGTCAGAGTACATCTGCCTGAGGGGCAAGGAGCCAAGCGTCTGCATACAAATAAGCCAGAGCTATGAAACAAATGTGCATGCAACACTCGGGTACTGGAACAAGTTTAAAGCCGGGAGGTGGATGAACACCCAAAACTTTCTGCCAGAGTTAACAGCTGGTGAACGCCAAGAACAACGAAGAAGTAAAAGTGAACAGAAAAAGTTGGAGACAAAAGTGGTAAATACAATGATGTGATGGCATGTGGCTTTGGCGTCACGTGAGACTGGTGATTTTATGTTAATGTGAGGCCCATTCTTATTTGTATTATACACAGGGCTTTTTCTAGAAAATGAAAAGATGGTAGTACTCATCGTAAAGCGTCTTAAAAAAAAGTGCCGGTACTCAACATGAAGTGACTTTTACAGTAGTTCTGACAAAAACTATGCCTAAACAAAGGTGCTGGTACTGTTTACCATTGTTTACCACCAGAAATGAAAGCCTCAAATATATATAATGGTGATGGTAAATTTATAGTGATATTTAAATCAGAAAATGGAACAAGAATGCATGAACTGTCCAAACAAAGCTTCAGTGTTTTTTGCCCATTTTAAGGAAAGACCTAGCATTTAAGGAAAGAATTTAGGAAAAGACATAACTGAAGCAAAAGCTTATCATTTCAAGAAAGAATTTAGGAAAAGACATAATTGAAGCAAAAGCTTATCATTTCAAGAAAGAATTTAGGAAAAGACATAATTGAAGCAAAAGCTTATCATTTCAAGAAAGAATTTAGGAAAAGACATAATTGAAGCAAAAGCTTATCATTTCAAGAAAGAATTTAGGAAAAGATATAATTGAAGCAAACGCTTATCATTTCAAGAAAGAATTTAGGAAAAGACATAATTGAAGCAAAAGCTTATCATTTCAAGAAAGAATTTAGGAAAAGACATAATTGAAGCAAAAGCTTATCATTTCAAGAAAGAATTTAGGAAAAGACATAATTGAAGCAAAAGCTTATCATTTCAAGAAAGAATTTAGGAAAAGACATAACTGAAGCAAAAGCTTATCATTTCAAGAAAGAATTTAGGAAAAGACCAAATTGAAGCAAAAGCTTATCATTTCAAGAAAGAATTTAGGGAAAGACATAATTGAAGCAAACGCTTATCATTTCAAGAAAGAATTTAGGAAAAGACATAATTGAAGCAAACGCTTATCATTTCAAGAAAGAATTTAGGAAAAGACATAATTGAAGCAAAAGCTTATCATTTCAAGAAAGATTGTGTAAATGTTTATGAGCTCAGCTTTTAATCAGTTTAATTTGTTTAGGTTAAAGAGCTCCTGGATTACAAATGATTGAGGTCGTAAGAGCTGCAGATTTCAATAGGCTACTCATGAAAACCATAAGGACAAGACAGACACAATTTAAAGAGGTTCTACCACAAGTAAAATAGGAAAATGTATCTTATTTAGAAAAGTTTGAAGTTTGAACAACAGATCAACAACATGGCACACTCAAGTCTGAGTCCGAAGAAGCTCAGCACAATGCACAGGCTCTGTAGCACCGGCGGGGTTCCTAAAATACTTTGTGTAGATTTTAAACTCTGAATTTTGCCCGGGCAGCACCGTTAGGGTACTCATTTTGATTTCTAAATGCCAAGGGTTTTTTAAGTGCGCAACAATGCACACGGGGATCTGATATTACCCCCCAGAGACCAGGGGGAATTACTAGAAGTCCAAGTCCACGTGAAAAAAATCCCAGCCCTTACTGGAAATTGAACCTGGAACCTCCAGCACTCGAGGGGGCCACCATGCCTTGAGATGACATAGCCCCCTTCTCTTATTTAGAAAGTTCCCCATTCTTTTTGAGAAAGAGAATGGGAGACACAAATAGGGAAAGATTTTTGTGAAAAGCTAAAAAATCTGTGTAGAAATGTTTTCTTCCATTAAAGTAATTTATGACAGACAGACAACTGCTGAGACATGATCACCAGAGTCTGCCCCGGGTCAAAAAGCTAAACCAGATGAACATATTTTTCAAATATACTACACTAGTTTGTGTTCATCATTCAATTTTTTTTTCTCACAGGTTGCTGTTAATGGTCAGCATTTCACAGAATTCTTCCACCGAATTCATCCTTTGAACTCAGTGACCTATTTGAATGTTCAAGGGGATGTCGTCCTGACGCAAGTTAGATTCCAGTAGGCACTGACACTGACACAAACAGCGGTTATGGAGCGCTGATCACTTTTTCCTCACCTGCATATGTTAACTGTGTGTTCACTTCATACCCACCTAGTTCTGTGACCTGTTTTTGTCTACAGCTATCCTTGTTTGTTTTTTAAACAGTAACTGGGAGTGACTAGGTCCTAAAATAAACAGCAATGGAGACTGTTTGATGGAAATTAGAAGGAGGATGGCCATTAGCAATTCAAAGATCAAAAAGTCTAAAAAGTCTATGGTTAAGCACCAGCACGTAGATCAAAATTAGAATTTTCCCTGTAGCAACGTACGGATGTGAGTCGTGGACTATCTCCCAGTCCGTAAGAAAGAGAATAGGGGCTTTTGAGCTACAATGCCATAGAAAGATTCTCAGAATATCTTGGACTAAGAAGAGGAGAAATACTGACATCTTGAAAGATCTAAACATCAAGAAAGATTGGCTAATAAACACCATCCTGTCTCGGAAGTTGAAATATTTTGGTCATGTCAAGCGCCACAACGGATAGGAAAAAATTATAGCAGAAGGCATGGTACCAGAAAAGAGGGGGGAGGGGGGGGGGGCGACTAACATGAAGATGGGCACAGGATATAAGTGACACCTTGAGTATGAAAGTGTACAAGGCAGGAAAGCTGGCGAGAGATAGTTTCTTTCAGGCAGACTGTGATAAGAGAGACATCCTGCAAAGGACCTGCTACATGATAATGAACTTGGAGTGACCAAGGGAATCTGGTCGACACTCAACATTTAGAGGAAGGGCAAGACGGACATATAATCAGACTGCAACTGGCACCAACCGAATTTGAACTCTTCAGTGGCTGCTGATGATGATGATGAATCGCTTATGGGAGAGTCATGAGTGCTTTGATATCAGTTCTTAGCTCAACACTCAACATTCATTACTGCCATAATTCAAAGATGCAAATATTATAAGTATATGGCATGGTAAAGAAATTATGAGATATTTAGAAAAAGGTGCAAGGGAAGATTCAAGTGGGGGAGGAGAAAATTGAGTGCTAGATTTAGGTAGATACACTTTTGTGAAGAGATTTTTCTGTTGCTCTTTGTTGAGGTGAAAGCTCAAGAGGCCTGCATTTAGTGTTCATAAGCAAATGAACAGATTGTTGTGAATCCTGGACAATCCATAGGCAGGCCAAACAATTTCTGGAGGCCTCGGAGATGTGGTTTTACAGAAGAATGCTTGGAATACCTTGGACAGCCAAAAAGAGCAACCAAGAGGTTTTGAAAGAGGAGGGAGCCCGAAGACAACTTATCACAGACATCAGAAGGAGACAGTCATTATTTTTCGGCGATGAGAAGAGGGAAAATAGAACATGTTGTGAACACTGGAAAGATCTGTGGAAGGAGAGATAGAGGAAGACAACGAGAGAAGATGCTTGACAGTCTTGTTGCATGGCATTGAGGTGTGTCAGCACACGAACTGATACATGCTGAAGGAGATCGCAGATTATGGAGAGGCATGATCGCCCACACCAGTCAGCAAGGCACCTGATGATGAAGCAAATGGGGAACCCTTGAGGCTGTCGAAACATTGTATTTACAATAAATAAACAGACATGTATTGATTAGCACTCATAGACTGAAGTGGAAAGATAGGATACACTAGATAATGTACAATTTTAAAACTATAGTTACTTTGTCGGGAATAGATTATATCACCTCTGAATGATGACAGCGCCTTGCAACACAAACAAGTGTAGTGACACTTTTTTTTTCAGGGTGCCTAGTTGGTGATGAGTCTTAACTCACTTGTTTGTGCAGTGAGGTACTGTGATCATTTAGAGGTGACAGATTATGGTTGATCTTTGACTTAACTTAGGCACTCTTGTAAGATTTGAAGACTTTGCAACCGCATGGTTCTAGCCCTGGAAAAAGGCAGCTGCCTCAGTCTTGGAATGCTTTAAGCTCGCCACAAGGTAAATGGGTTCTATCTCAATATCTCCCTCCAGACAGACAAATACTTTAGGGGGTGGTACATAGGCTGCATGCAGTCGTGGGGCCTTGGCTGCACTCTCTCGTAGGACGTAGGTGAATTGAGGTTAGGCCAAATTCTAGATGTTTTAGGGTAGCTAAAAGCATGAGAAAGCCAGGCGACCTGCTCTTACCACCCTTGAAAATATTGGACTGTCCTGTGATGTCATCCTTGAGGGGAAAAGGGGGAGTGGGTACTGGGAAAACACTGATGAATGCAAGACTTGGGGACTTACTGTTGACAGTCAGATGTTGAACTGTGCAGACTTTTGCAGTCACATAGCTTTTATTGTCTCAGTCTGTAGCAGGCTATATCACAGAGGATATCATTCAATTCTTAGCTAGAATAGTGTCTGCCCAGGATTTCCCACTGAAGAATGTCTGCCCAGTGTGTCCCACTGAATAGTGTCTGCACAGGATGTCCCAGAGACTAATGTCTGCCCAGCATGTACCACTAAATAGTGTCTGCACAGGATGTCCCAGAGACTAATGTCTGCCCAGCATGTACCACTAAATAGTGTCTGCACAGGATGTCCCAGAGACTAATGTCTGCCCAAAATGTACCAGACACTAATGTACGTCAAGGATGTCCCACTGAATAGTGTCTGCACAGTATGTCCCAGAGACCAATGTATACCCTGGATGTCCCACTGAAGAATGTCTGCCCAGGATGTCCCACTGAATAGTGTCTGCACAGGATGTCCCAGAGACTAATGTATACCCTGGATGTCCCACTGAAGAATGTCTTCCCAGGATGTTCCACTGAACAGTGTTTGCCCAGCATGTCCCGCAGATTAGTATCTGCCCAGATGTGAAGGACAAGAGAGGTTCTGTTTAGTATTCACTCAAACCAATACACATCAGTAGTTTGGCATTTGATTTGAGCTGCTATGTCACTCAAAATGTGGACTCATTATTACATGACATATATTCTTGACTGTTATATAATCAAAGTCACATTAATTTTTAATCCCATCATTATATAGTCTACTATAATAATACATTTTGGTTATTGTGAACTGTGACCAGTGTGTGTTTTTATGAACTCTAGACAGTGCTAGATTCAGGCATAAATTATTTAAGCTAAAGCCTAGGGACTTATGATATGCAGCATCTCCACAATTCCTTTTATTTTTTTCACACAAAAGGGATTTTCTTTTAATATATTTAAATTGCATTTTCCTTTTAATAAAATCTGTTATAGGCTTTTATAATTTCTGTGATTGTACACTTCCTTAATTATTTATTTTGCGGAGTCCGTGGCTTAAGTGTTGGGAGTCTGACTGGTTATTCCTATGTACTGCGATCAAAACCCAGTGTCTTTTATCGTGGTATGGGGTGTCGCAGGTCGACCCAGCCAAATGGGTACCAAGATGTATGTCCTGGGGAGGTGACAACATTACCCACCTAGTGCCGATTGGTCTATAAAGATATGGGTGCTCTTTCCATATGCCCAATGCACCTAGAGGCATGAAAAGAGATGTTTACTTTAATTATTTATTTTACTAAAAATTAAACAACATATATATATATATTTCCATTATCCATTTATTTGAAAGTTGGATATATTTTACAGTTTTCTGAGATTAGCTAGTGTAATTTAAAATGGTAGGGCCTCAGGACTTTATTAAGCTGAGGTCTTCAGCAAGTCTAAATCTGGTGTTGACTCTATCATCTACCCTTGAACTGTTGCTAGCGGTGTTGTAAGAAAGCACAGCTGTCTGTAACCCTATCATAAAAGACTGTAGCGTTGTTGCTAGCGGTGTTGTAAGAAAGCACAGCTGTCTGTAACCCTATCATAAAAGACTGTTTCGTTGTTGCTAGCGGTGTTGTTATAAAGCACAACTGTCTGTAACCCTATCATAAAAGACTGTTTCGTTGTTACTAGCGGTGTTGTTATAAAGCACAACTGTCTGTAACACTATCATATTTTGTTTTAGTATCCAGAAGCCATGAGTTGTTGACCCTTAGGCTCGGTATTATGGATATCGCAACCTTTCGGCCTTGATTCCATTGTAAATACCGTAAATCTGGGAGAAAATTTGGCTTTTCTGCCTATCATAAAAGACTGTGTGCAGGAGATTGTATGACAAAATCACATACACATCAAAACGCAACCCCGACTGTCTCCCGTGAATTTAACTTTGCTGTAATCTGACTCTGTAAAGATGGAAAATATTATAAAATATTCACTTTACAGTATCCACACATTCACGTGTGGATTTGTGGTTCGATTTACACCAAGAACATAGCACTTTGCAGACGTTTGTACAATGTCAGACAGGTAGCATAAGGCAGAGAACTTTTTTCGCCCCGTCACCCTTATGGGGCAAAATTTATTTCGCGGCACACCTACTCTTAAAACAGTTTAAATCCTTTTGAAAAAAACAAAAAAATGGCACATTTAACGTTCAGTTGTCTTTTATGCCATGAATGAAACTGGATGAATTGTTTATTATTTTCTTTATTTTTATGGAAAGTTTAATTGATTTTACCCTCACCTCACTAACCCAGAAAGTGTGCTCCTGTATTTTTTTTTTATTTTTATGTAAGCGTACATTGAGAATGCACTACATTCTTGCCACTAGCATTGTCTTCTGCATACACCTGCATTCAGAACTCTTCTTGTCTTCCTTCACGGTATTTCTGTTTTAAACTTCTGTCTTGAATGATCTGAAGCAGATTTTAAACAATTCTTGATTTTTGTCGCGGCGCTCCGGCATAAGCACGCGGCCACCCCTTGGGTGTCACGGCACCCAGTTTTAGAACCGCTGGCATAAGGCAACACGCCTGCTAAGGAAATATGGACTCCTTCGATGACTTCCCGGAACACTGTTAGACGCCTGTGTAAGAAAGACACAAACAATAAATTACGTTGAATTTTTGAACCAGGTCCTGATTAGGTAGAGTTGATACTCAGTCAGTCAGTCAGTCAGTCAGTCACTCAGTCAGTCAGTCACTCAGTCAGTCAGTCACTCAGTCAGTCAGTAGT